TAGCGCTTCAGCACATGTAAAAAAAATCCCAACTGCATGCGCACTGCGCACTGCGCAGGTATGTTTTCGTAGCGCAGTTGCCTTCGACAGGATGCTCTCTCTTAACCCAATGCCCGCTTCACGATATTCTGTATAATACAGAGTAAATGATTATCTTTATTAAACTATAGCTGCCACTTTTGCAAACTTAATGCATTGCAAGCCGTCCGCAATGGGATGTAGCGAAAACGCTGCGACCAGGTACATATAGACTGCAATCTGTCGTAGAAAACCAACAATGTGCCCACCGGCTGGTAAAATGTCATGATTTCATTGGGCAAATGTGACGTGACTTTCGTCGCATATCCTTCTACTTCGAGTATCCCGCTGAATCTGATGGGTCTGGGCAATCTGCGTTTGCGCCTAAATGACTGGCGAAGCGTGCCACTACGTCACCCGTACGCTCACCAAATTTTCGACCTGTTCTACACCTTTTCAACTTCAAAATGGCGACAGGTAAAATCAAAGTGACAAAACGTAAGTTCAAAGTGACATCGAACATAGGAGCCAGCAAAGCCAAACTTGATATTGTCTTTATTCTTGATATTGTCTTTATTCTCCTACAGGCATATCTTTCATCTGGATCGCACGCGCATGGAACTTCATGGTGTGCAACGAGCACTTGTAGCAAAGTTCTGGGGTGATAGCTTCGAGTACGAGGAGGTCTGCAGCCAGCTTTAGGTAGCTTTCACGGTGCGCCTTGATGGTGAGGTGCGGTGGGACGCGTAGAATAGCTTGACGATGGCGCGACATCGCGCCAATCTTGGCCTTCGTGAGCTGCACGGAGAACCCGTCGAACGGTAGCGTCGTCGTACAGCATTGCTGTGTGGGTAGGAAGCACAGTGAGAATTGCCAAATGAATGAAAGGCAGTGCGGCCACAAACTGCAGCAACAGTGTCCACTGATTCCATCGACGCCGTACAGCCAGCCAGCGTCCACCAAAATTGGCGGGAGTAGTTGCCGCCACTTTTTGCCTCTTTCATCTAATGAACTCCAAACGTAAATACTCCCATAAATATTAAGTGTCAGTGTCATGTCACTTTGAACTTACGTTTTGTCACTTTGATTTTACCTGTCGCCATTTTGAAGTTGAAAAGGTGTAGACTAGCAAGAGTAGAAGAAGAACTAGGCAAGAACTGGCCGAAAAATTGGTGAGTGTACGGGCTGCATTATCTACGCCTAGTTACCGCTATCCTGGATATTCACGCAATCCTCATTCGCGTCGCTGCCGCCGTCGTCGCTGTCGCTCGAAATCTCGAAGTTCTTTCGCTTGCGGAAGCGAATACGCTTTTTGAGGTGAGCAGGGATGACAGTGCCGTTGCGCCACAAATCATGCCATATTTGGCCGCATGTGAGCGTGTTGCCGGTTTCCTCGTGGCGAACCTTGTTACATAGAGGTACGTAGCCTCCGAAGTTTGATGTGCACTGCTCGCAGTAGTAACTGGTTTCAAAGCTCTTTGTCTGGGGAGTTGCCAAGGCTGAGCAAACTTTGCACAAGTGCTGGCGGCGCTTGCCCTTACGCTTCCGCCCTTTACGCTGGGGGTTGCTGGCGGCTGATCCATCTCTGGGTTTTTTTCGCTTCTTGCCTTTGTATTTTTCCTCATTGTTTCGCAGTCTGTGCGGTTGCGTGTGAATAGGCTCAGAAACGAGGTCCTTGGCGTTGGTGTTTGTACGCAGTGTGGCTTCGTTCGTGGCCAAAAGCTCGGTATGAAGTCGGCGCATATACTGCGCGTGTGTTGGCACTGGCAGCCCTTTTTGCTTGAGAATAATTTTATGTAAAATAAAACCGTTGACTATCGCCATGTCCACAAAACCCATGAAGAGTTGCCGATAGTACTTTTTGAAGGCCACAGTAAGCTGGATTGAATAGCGCTGAAGGCGGAGTTGATCATGGCGATCTACTCCGCCCATACCTTGGTGATAATCAACCACAAGCTGCGGGCATGGTACCGCAACACGCTCTGTCTCCCCCTTCACTCTACGCATTACAGTCGTTGGAACTGTAGAGCATCCCGTCGCGAGGAGCGCGACAGGCTTGCTGTCCATCCAGCTCAGTGCAACGAGACCAGGATGATCACGCGCGTGCGCAATTCGATACAAGCCTCGGGGCATAGTCTTCGGTCTTTTCTTTTGCGTAAAAGCAAACGGCTTGGGCCACCCAAGCCGCTCGTTGCGGTGAGTACCGACGTAGTAGAGATCCTTGTCCAATAACTCCAGCAATAGAGCACACGACGTGTAGAAATTGTCGGCGATGATAAGCCTTTTATGGGCCTGGCCATCAAGCGCCTTAGTCACGTTCCTGATGACTGCCTTCTGTGCCACACCTTTCGAGTTCTCTACAGCGCCGAGATACACTTCC